ACGGTATTTAATCCTTAGATGAGATTTAAGTATACGGGAATAAATTTTTTTTTGAGAGAGCTATTCGTTTTTGGTAACTGACAGTATTTAATTATATACGCTTAACAAGTACAAGAAAAATACTGACACAGTGGATTTGGTTACGGACAGCCAGCCGTTTGGCAAATCAAGCTTTTTGTCTCTTTAGTTACTGTTTGTTATGAGAAAAATAGAAGAGAAGAGACAGAAAAGAAAATTTTAATGAGTTATATTTAAAAAATTAAAAAAGTGATGTTTTGAAATTTTAATAAAAAGAACGAGTGATAAAAAAAGTAATAAAAATTAATTTAAAACTTTTAATCTCACATTTTTAATTTTTAAAATTAAGCTTATTAAAATATTCTCTCTTCTCTTCTTATTTTTCTTCGTATCAACCGGACCTTAAATTAAAAAAATAATAATTTCCCCCTACACTTTAATATTTATACGTACATATTTTTTTTTTTGAAAAAAAAAAGGGCAAACCCGGGTCAACCACCAAACTTGTCTTTTTCAATTCTATATTTTGCTAAAAACGGCAACATCTTTATTTTTCAAAAGGGAAAAGTAGGTTGGCCCAACCTAATATTAAATTCACAAACTGAGTTAGATAAGACTCTAGACTTCAATCGCGATAAACTTGATGGTTAAAATAAATTTTTCACACCATATAATGTTAAATGTTTGTCTCAATATATTCTCTTATATTTATATTTATATTTCTTTCACTCTCGAACTAACTTGCATCTCCTGTATTCCTAGTTAGCGGCCATTTTTATCCACATAGATAGTTGATAAATCTCAATCCAGCCAATTAATTAAGAAAAGTACTACCTCCGGTCCTTAATATAAGATCTTGTTTGACTTTTTATTTGGTCCTAATTATAAGATCTCAATCTATTTTTTCTCTCATATTTATGTATTTTTTTCTAAGATAGTCCTTCTAATAATGATAGTTCTAACCAATACACTTAATTAGCAAAGATATTTTAGGAATGACAAAACTTATTTATTACAAATAACTAACTTAACTTACTTCTTTAATCTCCTCAAATAAGTTAACTGGGTCTTATAATTAGGATCGGAGGTAGTAGTGCGCAGGATAAGAATTTTTTTTAAAAATTAAATAATAATAAAGAAAAAAAAAATGAACACATCAAATCAAAACATTAAATAAACGCATAATAATAGTGATGGGACCGATCGAAACTTTTTAAGTGTGTTTGGAAGGCCTTCGTGTGAAGCACACTCACCCGATCATATCGTAAACCGTCCAAAGGGATAATGGAAATTTCTCATAGAAAAAGAAATAAATGTCATTTTTAAGATGACGAGGAAATGAAATAATGTCACTTCCGTATTATAGAATCAAAAGCATACTGATATTAATATTGAAAATGATATTTAATCGTGTGACCTTTCGCCCGATTTAAGTGCTACATTATAAAAATGGAAAACAACAACCAACAACAATTGTTTCGTTTATCCAATTATACATGGTCCTCCTCAAACTGGGTCCCCAGTAATAATATATATATATTTTCCAATGTTAAATCTAAGTGTTCGATAATTAATTTTTATGTGTATATATATTAAAAAATAGTTAAATTAATTATTTTTAAAAAAATGTGTGTTGGTTTTATTAAAATAGTCGTTTTAACTATTTGAATTGGAAACTAGTTTCTCAATTAAAAATTAACATCTTATGTTTAGGACCAAATGGGGTTTTTATACTAATTTTTACTTTTAAGATTGGAGGGGGTGATGAATTTAACTAAAAATATCAGCGAAAATGAAGCTGGATTGGATGACTCTGTATATTCGTCAAAATTTACTTTTTAAATTTATACTGTTACTAATTATAATATTTCTTGTAGTACTATTTGCCTAAGGAACAAAATTACTTGTATACCCGAGATTTGAGTCTTCAATTCTGCACAGTGCACCAGAATTGAAAAACGAGGCACACATTGTATTATTATTCATTAGTGAGATTATCATATTAATTGTGGGATTTAAACTCGGATATGATGTGGATCATATATTTACCAACTAATTATATGGTTAAGGTGTAATTTTTATCCTGATTTTATTTTGAAAGTACAATTTTACCCATGATCTTTTAGTGGTGCAATTTTGCTCATAACCTTATTTTTCAAGTGTAATTTTGTTCTTCATCTTTTTTTAGAGTGTAATTTTGCCCATCATCTTGAGGTGAAATTTGGACTCTTAGGGTCAAAACTATACCCAAAAAAAAAATCAGGGTCAAAATTGTACAAAAGAAAGAGATCAGGGTCAAAATTGGACCACTAAAAAAATGAGAGACAAAATTGTATTTGAAAAATAAGATTAAAGTCAAAATTTCACCTTAACCCTTAATTATATCAACATTTATTACCCTTTAAACACTACTAAACTTATTCGCACATGATTTAAACTAAACAAAATAGGTAGAACGTATTATTAGCTTTGATTGTTAATATAAGAGTTAGTTTAATATTTAATTTGGTCCTAAATATAAAATTTGAATTCACTTTATCTATAATATCTATCTATTTCGCTCTCAAGTAAACTCTATAGTAGTTATATATGTTAAGAAGTTACTATCAATGAGTAATTTAAATACGCATAATTAATAAGGATATTTTACGAACTTAACTTGTTTTTTAATTCTCTTAAATTAATTAAGAAGATTTTATATTAAGAAGCAAACTAGTACAATAAAAGGAAAAAAAAAAGAAGGGCTGAAATTGAAGCGTTGATTTTTCTTTTTTTTCTTTTTAAATTGGGACAACTTGAAATGAAAAGGAGGTAGCGTAGAGAGTGTTGGGAGGAAAAGAAAAAAGGACGAATGGGGGACAGATGACGTTGGAAGGGTGAGGGCTATTGTCTGCTCTATAATTCCAATTCAATTTATATATCTCTTGCGCATTGGTGTTCCCTCCATCACTGATGTGGCCTCCATTATTTTATTCTTATATCATTACACTCATACTTGTCGGCTGCAAATTTCTGTCTCATGTCTATCCTTTTGATTCTATATGATATATCTTTGTTTATCTATTAGAGAAAATTATTCTTCAGGGTCATATAAGTAATTTAATCATTCAAAAGACCTCCCATAAATGATAAGTTCTGATATGAAAAATAATAACAGTTTCATGCTATTCTTCACTTGTTAATCAATTTAATCATTAAAAAGTCCTAACAAATAAGCAACATAATTATACTACTTCCAGTCCTAATTATAAGAGCCAGCTGACTAATTTGAGGAGATTAAGGAAGTCAGTTGAGTTAGTTATTTGTCCTAAATAAGCCTTATCTTTCTTAAAATATCCTTGTTAAATGTATTAACTAGAACTATAATTATTAGAATGACTATCTTGGAAAAAAATTGAGTAAATATGAGAGACAAAGTGGATTGAGATCTTATATTTAAGACCAAAATAAAAGTCAAACAGGATCTTATATTAAGGACCGAAGATAATATGTTCTAGCTTATTATTGAATATATTAAATGGAAAATTGAATAGGATTTGCCTACCACATTTGATGGTCCCTATTATAAGGTGCTGATTTTTGTGGGATTACATGTTTTTCTTTTCTCTGAATCAGCTCTGAACCACTCGCACTGCCTTCAACTTTGGTGTCTTGGCGTTGCGTGTGCACACTGCTTTTCTCTTCTTTCTTTATAACTTGTTGAACTTTCAGGAGGGTGTGTGATTGCAGAAACTTCTGGAACCCCAGTTTTTACGCCACAATTATGCATGACCACATATTTAGCCACGAATTTTAAAGTTTCTTACACAAGATTATTACAGAAGAGAAGACTATTTTTTGAGATTGCGTATGTTACTGTCACAGATATTTTGTTGATCCGCAAATCAAATCCTATTTGGTCAGCATAGCTTGTGGCACATAAACGGCTTCTGCCAAACGCCTAAAGTTGTCGTCGTGCCTTGTTTGTTGTACGCTACGATTGTTGCGCAAGTAACCTTGAAAGTTGGATCAAATTTTGTCATGTTTTTCCTACCCTTGCTTTCCAAATTTTTCTCTCTCAGCAGTATATAATATTTTTCTGATTCTTAATATAAAATCTATTTAATTACTTAGATTAAATTAAGAAGTTAGGTAAGTTAGTTAATTATAAAAAATATGACATGTTTTTCCTAAAACATTATAATTATCTTTCTTGGGGGTGTTTAGATGGAAACCAAATCATGATTTCAAAAGTGCTTTTACAGTTTACGAAGTAAATATGTAGAGAAATTTATCTCGTTTTACGAAAAAATACTTTTAAAATGCTTTTGAGGGTTGCCAAACACTCTCTTAATATCCTTACTCCCTCACTTACTTGATTATCATTGAGGGGGTATTCATAGAGGAAATTTAAAAAAAAATTGATAACTATAAAAAATATGTCTTATATTTAGAACCAAAATTAACTTAACAATTAGGTCTTATATTAAGAATTGGAGGAGTATATTAATTCCTGAAATCCACCCTTTCTTATATATTTTGTAGTTTTCTGTTTTCCTCAATTACATTTCTTATATTCTTTGAAATTTGTAACCAACAGGGAAAACAACCAAGTATTTCAACCTGATTGGACTTTTATTCAGCCGTTCTCCTTACTTCGCGGGACACATCAAAGTGATTCGATTTTGATTTGATTTGATAAGTGAGGAGAGTTTCATCACAAGGTTCTATTTCGCTCCATTGGATCAAAGTTTATTTCTTGCTTTTGACAATGCACAAGATAATAATTTAGATTTTTTTTAGGAAATAAAAAAACTTCTTCCCATTATTAAAATAACAGAACCATATAAAGCTACGCTATATTCATTGCTTATAATACAATTCTGTATTAAGATACGCTACAGGTGATAATGTGCTCCAAGAGTTTGGTAAAAACCAGTCGTTAATTGTCATGTAAATTGGTCTTGCAACGGTTGAGAGAGATATACTCAAATCACAAAGGATAAGATAATGAGAAAATAATAAATGGCTCGATTAGGAGACAATTTAAGATTTGAGTTACGGAGTCAAGCGAATTAAACACGCTATTTGCAATTCAGACAGATACAATGAAAAGAATCAAGGAAAATCTTGCACGCAGCCAGGTCTCTCTCCGGCTACAGTTGCCAGATTAAGACTTTGAATGCACTCAAATACATTCACTCTGTACGCTTAACAAAAATCTGCCTCGCCAACCTGTGATTGGAAAAATCTTATGCCCTTATCACAAGGTTGTAGAATTTTATAACATAGAGCAGTCATCATCTTGGAATCAGTTTTCAAGACAATGATGGTAGACAAGTCACATGTGTAGAGTCAAAGTTCAAACAGAAGACTTGGGCATCAAAATCTAGCGTTCCTCGAACTTGATATGGATTTCATTCATCTGTGGTTGATGTTTCCTGACCTGCAAAGGATATGCTCACGACACCGCTTTATTTATAGCTCTCGTAAATATTGGCCAGTTACATGAAATTCGCACAAGGAATTAAATAAAGAAAAAGAAGGCAGTTGCGTTTATTTTAGGAAGGTAATAATCTTCAGGGTCAATTGAACTGAGCAAAGCCATTTTACAGAATTCTGATGGAAATTTGGAAGCTTACTTTTACCCCAGCCAATGAAAGTAGCTTGTGTGAGGCAACATATGCGGCATCTGAATTTTCGAATCTCTTCTCCACGAAATAAATAACTTCAGAAACTCCCGACTGTGAGAAAGAATTCAGGCGTATTATGCACGACAGAATAGTTGGAAGGAAAAAAATATACAATCAGTCAGAGATCAATGAGAAATTAATTCTGCCACGAAACTATTAAAATTGGCCTCTGATCATCTTTAAATCTCCTCCGCTATGTTAAAGCGAAAGATTATTCGAAGTGGCTACCAATCACAATAGGATATAATTTTACATTTCAGCTCATGCAATGCATTATTAGGTTGATCGCATGAGTAAAGAGCTTGTACCTCACACTCACACTGGCATCCAACTTGTTCACTCCACTCTTTCCCATAAATTACATTCTCCAGTACGATTGATCAAAGACAAAAATTGGATTTTGTACTGGGTCAAGTTGACCCCATCATGCTATACAGGTCTGAGGAGATAGAATTAGCAAAAGGAGGAGATTTATCGCAATTTACTAGCAAACAAATGCAGGGGGAACAAGTGCTATTGCTGCATTCAAATCAACTCAGATTTTTTCTTTTTTGAAAAGAAAAATCAGCAAGAGTTCCTTTTGCACCATACAAAACAAGGCTACCAACCTGGATTATGATCTTAGCACATTCATTGCAAGGAAACATGGTCACATACAGGCGCTGCAAGGATTAAACAAGAATAACTAAAGTGTGAATTCCCTAAGCAGCAGGTGGTAACAGATCCAGAGTAATGCAAATGAATAAATTTCCTTAAGTACTAATCAGTGTAAGCATTTCCAGGCTCAGTGCACTGTGTGTGTGTATGTGTAAATGGCTCAGTCCAAGCAGAGGCTAACAGATGAAAATAGCAAAGGAAACAGAAGATCAAATGAGACATAAAAGACAAAGAAACTGAATCCAGTGGAGCGCACCTGTCCCGCAGCAGAGGCATGATTTGTGTTAAGGATAGCATTTACTTCTGCATGACAAACATAACTACAATGGAGATATCTAAATTTGGTGAGATTCGATGAGCAGTATGAAGACATGTAAATACATAGCCATTAAAATAGAACAAGAAAATTATAAACTGAATATAACGTGATGGTGGTGGCAATGACAAAACTGAACCACATGCAGGATTCAAGACAGAATGCACCCTATTCTGAACCATGTATGTTTAAGCAGACTTTTGCGTACAATGAAGGTTACAATCAGAGTAATAATTTGAAAGCAAAAGACTTACGGGTACTTTGTCTCCAGAGGATTCCCGGTCCTGGATTTCTGAAACAGAGAGATTATTTAAGTCTTACTCCCTCCGTTCCTTATTATAAGAGACGAATAACCGAATTACGTTGATCAAAAAAACAGTTAAAATTAGTTAAGAACAATTAATGTGTAAAAAGTATAATTTTTTTTCCAAAATGCCCTCATTAATAAGGAGAGAGAGCATGAGAGAAAACAATAGTAATTCTTAAAAGAAAGAGAAGTGGGAAGGAGAGAGAGTGTGAGTTGGAGACAATAAATATGGGTAAAATAGGAAATCAACACAAAAAAGTAGAGACAACTTTTAAGTGTCTCTTATATTTAGGAACATACTATAAGCATCAAATGTCTCTTATAATAAGGAACGGAGGGAGTATTTTCTTAAAAATTTAGCAACTTTTCTGTTCACTCTTTTTGGTTTATGCCAACCAACCTTTGCCCAAGGCAGCTTGTCATCTGAACAACCTCTTGGAAATCCATTATAGCCAATGCCTGACACAAAGATAGCAAAGTAGGCCTCTTGCATTAATAAGTTACTGAGTATTTGACATCTAACATCACAACATTTATTAAAACTGATTCATTAGCAGAAGTATGTTTGGTTACGGAAATGTAGAGTACATGCTAGATAGCAATACTCTTTCCTGCAACTCACTCAAGGTCTACTTAGAAATCAAAGTAATGGCGGAGATTTAGCGCACACATTAGATTTTGTGAGCTATAGTTCAATGAAACATCTTTGGTCCTCAATCCTGATTTTCAGACTTGTTGAAAAAATGAACCACTTTTCCTCACTACAATTACTCTAATCTGTCGGGAACAAGTCATAGACTCTTAAGTATTTGATAGCTGAACTGAATGAACTTACCAAGAATTATACCATCTTGACTCACCAAGCATGCCCCCACCTACAAGATCATTACATAGGCAAGCTCCATCAGTTTTAACCCGCCAAATAAATTTGAATATTTATGCCGTCTAACTGCATTGGCCGCATAAATTACTCTGGAATTAAAGAATATCGTTTAGCTAACCCCAAAAGATATGAAATATGACCTGCCTGTTAGGATCTTTGGATCTTTCAGCCGACAAAAAAGCAATTGCCATGAAATAATCATCCCAGGACAAATATCTGCTATCAACAACCGATCAAAAAATATAATTCACCTTCTAACACGAAAAGGGATCCCAGTTCAAAAGCACTAACAAGACTACAAGAATTTCAATATGTGAGAACCGCCAAACCCTACTAGCCAAAGGAACACAAATACAAACCATTTACAACACTAGGGAAAAATGCAAGTTCAGAACAGCTTATAAGGCCACCATAACTTAAATAAGAGCAAGCTCTCAAACCCTACATGGAAAAGCAACGGAATTACTGACTCTTTTCGTTTGGAGGGATCGAAAGGGTCTCGTGAAGAGCGGTTCTTCAAAACTGTTCCGTTTTGCGAAGAGTTGAATTTGGATTGATGATGTTTTGGAAAGAAGAAGAAGCGGAAGGCAATTGCGGATGCCAAAGCCCCGAAAACGGCCGCGGAGGAGAGTACAGCAACCTCGCGAGAGTTCATGGAGTTCAACTATAACCTCAATGGATCGAAACCAAGACGTTTTCTGGGAAAGCTCTCAGATTGAAATTATGACACATACAAGAGTATCTATTAACACTGAGAATTAACGATGAAGAAAAATTATCTGAACGCGGGAAAATCAGAAACGAACAAGGGAAGAGCGCGGAAGAGCGCGGGAGAAGTTCACTCAACGACTCAGCATAGACGCGAGTCGCGAGCACGTGGAATCATTTCTTTAAAATTAATTTTGTTTTATAATTGGCTTTCTTTAATTTTAACAGAATATTGATTATTTTGTACTCTTTTTTTTTTTTTTAACCAGAAGATTGTTTTTGTATTCTTTTATCTTTTTATTGATGAAAATAATGGTAGGCAGAATTCAAGCACAGTGATGTTATAATATTTTAACATGACCCGACAAAAAAATTATGAAGTCATTTTAGTTCCAGAATAATAGCTTTTTTAAAATATGCATATATAACCTTGAACTTGAAGGATAATTAATTAGAGACAAAAGTCGTTTCTTATTTCATATGGATTATTTATTACCAGGGCATATGATATCTTTTTTATTTTGTACATTTCATGTAATGCGTCAAAAAGTTGTCTATGTCAATAAATTACAAGTGAGCATTTACCATTGAAGCATGGATATTTAGCTAAATAATAACGATGATGATTGGTGATTGCCATTGGACTTTTGGGGCTCCAGTGAACGAGGCAAGTGGCCCTGAACAAGGCCCAAAATTTAGTGGGCTTGAAAGAAACTAAGGGACAGTATAGTAGTTTTTTGTTCTCTGAGGATCCATGGACTCTTGGTCATTTTGTGAGTCGTGACCAAAACTAAAAATTTGCGTAATTTATATACATGTTTAGAATTTGTAATGCATTTTTTTTTCATATAATAGAATTTTGATATGTTTAGTAAATCGTATTTTTTTTATTAGTGTCCTTGTTTCCTTAGAACATTTATGCCATGTTAAATGTGAAAAAAAAAGAGAAGAAATAAAAAATTACTTAAAACGTCTAAAAACATATTTAAAAAATAGAGGCAGGGAGAATTTATCAAGGAAAAAAAAAAACCGGTGAACCGGTCTGCAGTCCGGTCTGGTTCAGTAGCTGGGCCGGGGCCAATTGAACCGGTCATAATCGGTATAAAACCGGATAATCCCAGTTGGCTGGGTTTCCCGGTTCCTTTTTTTTTTTTCGGTCTACCAAAACCATTTGATGCGTAACTTGAATCTCATTCCTCATTCCTCTGGCTCGCATAGCAGCTCGCCTCCCTCCCTAAAATCAAAATTGCCTCCTCCCAAATCCCTGCTCCCTAGCGTCATGATGGCACGACGGTCTCTAGCAGAGCTCCTTGTTCGGCAGAGCTCCAAAATCGCAGTCATCGCAAGTCTGATCTCCGGTCTCCCTCAACCTCATCGCAAGTATGATCTTCGGTCTCCCTCACTATAGCTGCAGTTTTCTTCGCTGTCGGAGGTCGCCGGTCTTCATGTGACGTCGTCCTGGTCAAAGCAGAGGTTGTCGTTCTCGGTTCTTCAATCAGATTTGCAGGTCGTAGGTCGCGGCAGCAGCTTGTCACTCCCCATCGTCATTTCTTCTTTACGGTGGTAGAACCATTGTTGCAGCCCGAGATTCTTCCTTCTCCTTCTACCTGTTTTTAGTTTTTGTGGTCTTGTTGTTTGGTTTGTTATTTTCTTTCAATTCGATGTGCTCTGTTTTTCCTTTCTTGGTCCTGCTTCCGTGTTTTAGGCTTCCGGCTATGAGTGATATGAAATCTAATTATCTGAATTGATCTTTGAGGTTGAAGAAGTGAAATTAAAACATTCGGTGTATGGGCTGTGGGCATTTGAAATTTGTGTGTTTGTTTTTTTTCAATTTTTTAAATCTAGACCAATGAATAAACGTTCATATGAATGAAATCTAAAAGTAGAATAGTCAAATAGATATTAGGATTATTCTATTTTAATGTTACCAATTAAATTGTATTATTTTTTTATGACCAGTCCAACCATGGTCTGACCTCCGATCCAACCAATGACCCTTGACTCATTGTCTCGACCGGTTTAGTCACCGGTCTGGTTTTTTGTTCCTTGGAATTTACATTATCGATGAGCTGTGAAGAATGCAACTTTGTATCAAATTTTTAATTCATAATGAATATATTAAAGATTAATGAGAAACATGAAAATGACATTTGGATATAATTTTAAAATAGGAACTTCAAGCAGTAGTAGTCCAAGGATGCCAAGCATTTTGCTTATTACTTTTCTAAGCGGGGTCGTGAGTTTGAAATCTGAACTCTAAAGAGTACAATGAGTAAGTGAGTTATGATAAAAATAATACTTTTCTGATCATTAATATAAGATCTAATTAACTAATTTGAGTAAATTAAGGATGCTCGTTAAATTAGTTAATATAATATATTTTTTCTAAAATACTTTAAGCATTTTTCTTAGTCCTTTCCATTTATCTTCAACTAATTATTGTTGGGGAATATCAATAGAGTTAATTTGAAAAAAATTAATAAACATGTGAAATAGGTTTTATTTATAGAACCAATATTAACTCCTTAATTAGTTTCTATATTAAGGACGAGGGGAGTATTGCTTCCGTTTTAACTATAAAAGTTAATTTATACTACGTCCGGTCCTAATTATAAGAGCTAGTTAACTAATTTGAGGAGATTAAGGAAAGAAATTAAGTTAGTTATTTGTAATAAATAGATGTTGTCTTTCCTAAAATATCCTTACTAATCAAGTATATTAATTAGAACTATCATTGTTAGAAGGATTGTTTTGAAAAAAAATACATAAATATAAAAGACAAAGGGGATTATGGTTTTATATTTAGAACCAAAATAAAAGTAAAATAAGATCTTATATTAAGGACCGGAAGTAGTAATGTAATTTACACTATAAACTAATTCTTATATTTAGGAATGGAGGTGTACACATTAATAATTTTAGAATAGGAATAAGAAAAAATAATTTGAAGAAGATGTACGCATTATTGCATGTTCTACAAAACAATGATGAGGTTTAGGAGGGATATCAGAGATTGAGTAATGGAGAGGGCACTTAAGTACAATCATCCATTCATTTACCATCATGCTCTCCAACTAAGCCACCTCCCGGGTCCCTTCCTTTTTAGCTCCATTTCGCCTCTTGTTCATATATACACACACCCACATCAAATCTAAATAGTCTATGTCATTATCATTATCACATTTTGGATCATGAGATATATAATTGAGAGTGGTGACGACTTTTAGGACCATAAACCTAAAAGTATATGCTTATCCCTTTTGCATGTGATGCTTAGGCTCGAAATGAAAAACGAATCAATAAGAATCACAAATACAGATATGTGTGTGTGTTTGTGTGTGTAAATATAAAAGCAAGCAAGCATGGATGAAATTGGGATGAAGTGGAAAATGGGGCGAAGTTCAAAAGAGCAGTGATGAAGGGGGAAGAAAGGGGGAGGGTGGGAGGAATCGGGTATTTGTCATTTCTGTGGTGATTGATTGATAAGTGACAATGAGATCATCATAAAATCATAAACATATTTAGTTTTTAATGATTGTGTCTTGGAAAATAGTTGCCACCTCCCACCCTGCATTCCCTTCTCGTTCTCTTATATGGGGGGCACCCGCTCTTCGCCACCCCCCCTCTCTCTCTCTTACCATTCGTTTGCATAATCCAAATGACTCCGCGCCTCCTTTCAAACATTCATGTCTTCATTCTATTTAGTACTTTTCGAGTACTTAATATAAAATTTATTTAACTAATTTAATTAGATTATGAAAGTTGGTAAGTTAGTTAATTATAAGAAATATGACATGTTTTTTTTAAAACACCATAATCATCTTCTTTAATATCTTTCCTCTCTCTTTTACTTGATTATACTTGAAGGAGTATCAATAGGGGTAATTTAGAAAAAATTGATAAATATGAGAAATAGGTCTTATATTTAGATCCAAAATTAACTCAATAATTATGTATTATATTAAGGACCGGAGGAGCATATTTTTAAAGCTTCAATCTAATAGTTTTCCTTTCCAATTTTTTTTAATCATGAGAAGATTAATAACTCCGTACCATTCTAATATTATTTATAAGTTGCTTTCGACATCATTTCTATCACAAACTTTAATAAATATTCAATTTTACCTCTATATAATAAATACCTCTTTTTTTTTAAAAAAAAATAGTTTACACAATAATAATAAATAAATGGTAAAATTATATATCTATATAAAAATATTGATGAAGTTACTTGTAAATAAGACTAAAAACATTTTCTCTGACTTATAAATAAAATTAGAAGAATAAAGAACATATACCAACATTTAATGAGGAATCAAAAAGTTCTCTCTTTTAGTCTTATAAATAAAACTAGAGTGGCATGGATTAAGAAATTTAGTTAAAATTAGTTAATATGTTTAAAATTCAGTACAAAAACTAGTTGTAGGGCAAAATTAATGATTTGGTAAGTTGAACTCTCACACACACGCCAAGGGTTAGGGGAAGTAATTTTATAAAAAGAAGTGGAAGAATTATTATATGTTAGTGTTTTGCAATCAAATTGCAATTATGGAAGTGAATCTTTTTGAGACCGTGTGCCATCATGTTGGTCTTTTTTGATTTTGCTCCTTTGCTTCGGACCGACTGATCCCTTTTCCCCCACCTAACTAAGCCCACTGCCTCCCAACCAAACAATTCCCCCATCCATACTTCCTTCCCTTGCCTCCATCATCTTCTATTTACTTTCTACCAATATTATCAACATAAAATATAACATTCAAAATATTGTCTATAATAATAATAAAAAAAGTAATTCAGATTACTCTCCATACAGTGTATAAAATATACACACTTTATTAATAAAACATAAAAAACAGTTACGTATATATGCATATGAAACCGCGTTTATTAAGTATATATTTATAATTTATTAATCAATATCAATACAAATTATAAAATTCAAAATATTATCCATTACAAGTCAAGAATGTAATTGCTCCACCCTAAAATCCACATAATGTATATAACTATACATAATTTATTCACAAAAACATGCACACAAATAATTGCATGTATGGAATATATGACCTATTTAATTATTTGATTAGATTAAGAGAATTACGTAAGTTAGTTAATTATAAGA